AACTCCCTTAATGGTGTACCACATAGGTCAACTTCTCAGTTCTCATCACCAGAAAACAAAGACACCAAAACAGAGAACTCTGCAGCCTCGGCAATCTGTGTTCGATAAACATTTAACAAGCCACTTGCCATAATCTGCTGCTAAATTAAATTGACTGACAGGATGACATCTCAGTGGTACACATGTCTTATTGTAAAGAACAAGAGCCATCAGAAAGAGGTTGAGAAGTCTCGTTATCAACAAGCTTATTTTAATTTCTCAATCATCAAGCTGTAAAATTTTGAATAGTAGTGCTCTTTCTTTTTGTATTTCCGTATCAAATTGGAAAATTATTATAAGTTTTTTTGGGAAACCAAAAAACAAAAAGCCCCTACTGGGGACTGGCCTTTTTCTTGTATACGCTAATTTAGTTTATGGGTTTTTGACCCTACACACCTTCACCTCCCTACCAGAACCCCAAAAAGATAAAGTTGGTTTCTTGGAAGCCACTCTAGGAGGCTGTGAGAGCTTATATATACACCTTTTGGATAATATTCTGCTACACAAAATCCTTCATGGGCAAGCCATCTCTTTGATTATTTTCATATATTTTATGCTTTGAGTCTTTTTTCTTCTTCTTCTCATTTTATTGTTTTCTGAGAGTATACACATTCTACATGTTACAAAAGTTTTAAACATGATTTTTGATACCTCTCTGTGTTCTCAAAACCATTAACTCATCTGTGTTCTTTAAGTATCTTCTGCAAGAGGCATCAAGAGCTTGAAAGAGAAAATGGCAGAGATGGCAAAGTATAAGGTGGACAAGGATTTGGGTTGTGGTTTTATGGGTGTGATTTTCCAGTGCAGAAGCTACTGGTCTAGAAAATCCTCTGTTCATTCACTACCTTCAAACAGTAGCAAAAATGATTTGAAAGCACCAATCAATGATGATTATTCTACAAAGTCTGAAGAATCCAAGAGCCAACAACCCAAATCCACAGAGGCCGCTATTGTAGTCTCCTCCAATACGGGTAGACCTTCTCCGAATCGAGACTCGAAACATGCCAGGAAGCCTAGCTTGGGTCATCCAAGGCCTTCAGCTTGTCACCAGAAGGTTCAACCGAGAAGGCATTCAGATGCTGGAAGAAGGTCAACATCTTCATCCAATGGTACTTCAAGCCAAATCAAGGTGTTGCAAATCCAGGACTTGTCGAAAGAGACGAAGCTACAAAGGGCATCCACTACTAGCTCTGCAGAGC